AGAGAGAGGGACACTCACACTTGATAGTAATTCATAGTTGAAGTGTTACCTTAAAATCAAGATAATTCTCAACAATACACAATGTTATTTTATCCTCAGTATTAATGCCATCAGATGGATGAGAAAAACCTAAAATAGTGATCAACATGTAAATGTATATGTACATGTGGCAGCACTGGGTTCCTCCCAAAGCATGCTTAAGTGAACTAAAAAGTATGCTTTATACAAGCTGAAAAGCCTAATACATGTACATACATGTAGTACATACAGCTTTGGAAGCAACTTTAAAAATTGATTAAAAATCCAATTTTGATCGAAATCGGCTTAAACCTTCTACACAACATAAGAACATGTATATGCATCAGAAAAAATTATAAAAATGAAGAATTCTCTCCTCGTCATTTTTGGTGAAATTTGGCCAAAAACCCTGTACTATAGTACAGGGACTTTGGCCTAATTTTGGAGCAACTTCAAAAATTCATAAAAAATCCAATTTTGATCGGAATCAGCTCAAACTTGCTACACAATATAAGAACATGTATATGCATCAGAAAATATTATAAAAATGAAGAATTCTCTCCTAGTCATTTTTGGCAAAATTTGGCTAATGACCCTGTACTATAGTACAGGGACTTTGACCTGATTTTAGAGCAACTTTAAAAATGAGGGAACTCCCAATGGAGCGCAGTTCATTATACTGTACCTATTCTGGTGCACAGGGCATATATTTTGGCTCTCACGTTCTCCCTCACGTCCTCAATAGCAGCAGTGTAGTGTCTGGTGGGCAGTGGAAGCATGCCTTGAGCATTCTGTGTAGCACCCATTAGGGGAAGAGTAGTCCCTACATGAGAGAAAAAGGAATAATTATTTACAGTATGTCCATGTGAAAAAAATAATGACCCCTTAAAAGGTAAAAAATTAGTTGTTCATATGTTATAATAATTATTGCTACATGTACATGTACATAATTATAATTTGTACATATACATGTACATGTATGTATAATCAGTATTACCAACTAATGTTCCTTTGTCCTCTCTTGGTAGACCCATGTCCATCTCCTCCTGCCTCCAGATATGAGCCAGCAATGACCAACAATTAATGGAGTCAGTTTTAGACTGCCAGGCAGTGACATGAGCTACAGCCTAAGGAGAGAGGATCAAGATACTGTACATGTATATGTACATGCATACATGTACATGCATGTACATGTATGCATGTATATAGATAATAATAAAAGCTGTGGAACATACATGTACATGTACTGCATAAAAATGTAAATGTTTTTTTATACAGTAGCTCTTTTACCTTCTGATTCTCACATAAATCAACCAATGCTCCCAAAATCAATCCTTTAATATTTGATGGTCCTTTCTATAAAAAAAGCATCAATAATATAATCGCTATTATCTTTATCATTACTGTACATTTAATAGATCAAGTAGTGCAAAGACTCCTCCTTCCTCTAGGAATATATCCTCCACTGAGCTGTGCCCAACAATAGAGCACCAGACACAGTCAACGGTTGATAGGAACAGTCTCTGATAGGAGTCACCATTGACTGAGAGAGAGGGACCACTCTTTAGATATTTCACTAATATCGGTACGCCCTCATAACCACCAAACAACTCCTGATAAAGAAGAAAGAAAGAGAGAGATGAAAAAGTGATACATGCATTTTACATTTACATTTATATGTACATGTATACAGTACATGTACAATTAAAGCACACAAGTATCAGCTCATTTCAGTATAATGTTTGTGTTGCCCCTACACTTAATGAATGTAGCTTGTTGTGTCTATTATTATTATTTCTAGTCAAGTCTTTGTGACTAAATTATTGATTATGGAATTGTGTCGACATACATGTACATGTATACAAGGAAAGAAGATAAAAGTGTCTAGACCCTGAATTAATTGGGTTACCTCCTACTAACATGTACAATATACAAGATAAAAGTGTCTAGACTCTAGACCCTGAATTAATTGGTTTGCCTCCTACTATAATGTACATGTATATTAATTAAGTTAATTGACTAAATGTGCTTATAAAGCACTTTAAAGTGAATGTGTACAAGCTCCTATTATTATTGTATACAAAAATGCTCAATCAAGTAGATTATACATACAGTACATGTATAATGCTGCTCTAAATATTTTAAGCACACCCTTGCCCTCACTCCTGATACGTGTAACAATAATTATAATAGCAGTTATAACAGATGATTCGTTACTTTTCTGTGAATGTTATTCTCACAAAGACAAGAGAGTACCATCAGTGCATCACTCTCTATCTCTATAGTGATCGGGTTGCCGTGGGAACCGGTGGGAGGGGCCAATTGCATATCCTTCAACAAAGCTAAAAATTAAAATTTAAAAAATGTAATAATAATACTTATTTTTCTCTTACCAATGATCAATGGTATAGCTCCTTGTTCGTGTAGGTCTTGTAGTATCCATTCTTCTCCTCTTCCTCCACACACACTCAAGAGGAGACGAAGAGTGTACTTCAACTGGGCAAGCTTATTGTCACGGCCACCGGTACCATGGAAACTATTGCCATGGCCACAGAACGAAGCTATAAAAATGCATATTATTTACTAGCTTAGCTACATGTACGTGTACATGTACATGTATTATTAATTATTGTGTACATGTACATGTATTATTAATTATTGTGTACATGTACATGTATTATTAATTATTTTGTACATGTACAAGTGTACATATATTTACATTCTTCATCCTTTTTATTGCACCATTCTATCAATAGTAACAGTCTTGTGTTTCCCTGGCAACTGATGTAATCCTCTGATAGTTTAGGAGCAAGAGAAGACAGGCAGGAGAGAGACTAGAAATAAAAATACATTAATAATAATATAATAATAATAATAATAAAATTATAATACCAATAATTGTAGCTCTTCAAATTGAGCCGAGGTCCATCCACTATCAGTGGGTGTGTCATTGGAAACTGCAAACGAGAGGAGAGACTGTATGACACTCTGAGAGGACAATACCTGCCAAGAAGAAGAAAGAATTCAAAATAAATAAATTCGATGACTATGTACTTTCAAAGCTGCTGGTAGAGAGCTCAGAGTTACTAATAAGCAAAGTAGTGATTTTATCATTTCAAAGTCCTCCTCATCATATGTTAGTGTCTTCAGTTTAGAGGAAGAGGAACTAACAGAAGAACCTTGATCTAGAAAGAGAGAGAGAGATGCATACATATAGCGTGTGTACATGTACAAGTACCTCTGTCTGAAAACTTAGCTGTCTCACATATATCTTTTAGAAACTGACTCTCCTAAAATGTGCATGTACATGTACAATGTAGACGTAAATGTATTGGATTAATAATGCTTTACTGTACCACAAAAGGTGCTTTGGTTGAATTAGCTGCCAGTAATGAGACTATCATAATAACATCATTCCTCAGTTTTTTATCTTCTTTACTCAAAGCTGTCTCTACTAAAGTATTGAATAATGACTGTAACGTACTAGAGAATGAGAGAGAGAAAGAAAGAATTGAATAATAAAATAAAAAATAAAAATTACCAAATGCTCTTCATTGAGCTGATCTGCTCTGACACCTACAGAATTACATGTACATGCAATGAAAAATAAATCAAATAATTCATGTACATGTATATGTACCCTACCATTATTTGTGATCCATTCTCTAGTAAGTTCCACAATATTTCAATTGACAGAAATGAGATACTTTTATTATTGGATAATAAGTATTCTTCACAGATCAGTGAAGCACCACGCACAGAGAGAATATGATTACAATTGACAGCTAGAGAAAGGAAGAATTATAAGAATAATCTAATTTCTCTCCTTACCACTGTTGTAAGACAGTAACTGAAGTGTATCAATAAATGCTAGCTGAGTTTCAACATTACCAGTTGTGTCCTGTAAATTCTACAACAACAACAATAATAATAATAATAATAATAACAATAATAATAATATTTACATGTAAATATTTACTTTAATAAATGATATAGTGACACCACTTCTCTCCACTAGTACTGCATTATATGACCTGCTGGTACCTTGTAATTCTACAATTAGAAGAAGAGCAGAGTATAATGAAAATTAGTAAAAAAGTAAAAGTACTAACTGAACTAAATCTCACACATATGCATTACACGTATGCATAAATACAGTATTTCTTTGATAGCTCTATACCTAATACTATCTCACCAGGTAGCATATCAAGGTCTTCTTTGCTCCTTCCTACATAGAATGTTCCAATTGCTTTTGCTATTGAGCGTTGGATGAGTTCAGACGAGCAACTGCTACTCAATTTCCCAAGGAAAGACAGAGTCTCAATGACTTGAGTAGAATAAGTGTTCTCATCGGAAGCTTTCTCTTTCAGAAAAGGTAAACTAAGAGGAAGAAGTACATATTGTGCATGTATTGTATGTAAAAGTTATGTACCTGAATAGTGCAATGAGTCTATCCATTGGTTCTTCATAAATTTCACTGTTTTCTTTGAGTTTCTCATTAATTAATGATATTAACTGACACACTTCACTTAATTCAGACAATATCTATAAGATTATGATAGTTATTGAATTTTTGTGTCTCATATTCTCTTACGTATCCTCTTTTGTATTTCTGGGCTAGTCTATGGAGTATTTTCTGGTGTCTCTGATACACATTTTTCTATGATAGAGAGAAGCAAACTCTTTTAAAACTTTAATTGTTAAAAGATATGGAAGAACTAGGAGCATTTAATATTTTCTAGTACTTTAATTTACCGATTGCTTCCCTTGTATGAGCGCCATTGCCCTCTCAAGGCTCATACTAGTCGGTTTTAGATATTCACCCTCAACCAGAGACGAGGCCATTTTGTTTTAGATATCGGTTGCTATAGTTACAAGTCGCCCACGTGTGTAAACCCCGCCTACAAAAGGGAGGGGTTGGTTGATTGGGCGGTGCACGTGTATCCACGTGTCAAATCCAGCATAAAAATGGCGTCTTCTTGTAGGACTCTTGTGAGTCGTTTTGTTCATATACTCCGTCCCTATCCCTCGAGGAGGTATTGGCTATCTGCTACAGCTACCTCTGATGACGTGCCTCCATTAAAAACCATTCAAGAATTAAAAGAGATAGATCCAAAGACCGGAGAGAAGAGGATTGGCAACAACTTTGTTTATGAGATGGAGCTCTCTGCCCTCGCCAACCGCCTCGGGTTTACCGCATCCCAGCTACCCTCCCTACAGCAAGCCCTCATAGACAAATCAGCAATGAGCAGTAAGGAGGAGGAAGGGCACAACTCTCGGCTAGAATCGGTTGGCAAGGAAGTCCTCACTACATTTGTACGTGGGTATCTCAGCAACGTTTACCCTAACCTAGAATGCACTCATATCAAAGACATCACAAAGTATCTCACAGACGAGCCAGCACTCGTTAAAATTGCTGACTACATTGGGATATCAAACCTCGTCGTAATAAGAGAAGGTTACAATGAGTCTAAAGTTAGCAAGTGTTTGAAGGCTGTTTTTGGTGCTGTGCATGCTGATATAGGGGAACAGGCAGCACACTCTGTGATAGAACAGCTAATAATACCACAATTGAAAGATGCTGATCTAAAAGACCTCATTGTTATTAATGACCCAATGCGGACTTTACATAATATGCTTTATACCCAAAAGAGGCCCAAACCTGTACCAAGGATGATAAAAGAGACGGGAAGATTGTCCCATTTCCCTACGTTTGTCGTTGGTATTTATTCCGGCAAAGTGTTAATTGGTGAGGGAGTTGGTAGCTCTATCAACAGGGCTAAGGTTGAAGCAGCTGCTACTGCCCTACGGCATCATTATATGAAAGAGATTAAGGGAGGAAAGAAGAGACAAAAAGAGTAGAACGAACAAAGGAATGTGGATACTTAAGAATTTTTAACAATAATAATTGCTTAAACAATTATAGGGTGTGGCCTTGGGTGGGGCTAAGTTGCTCTGCATGCAAAAAATTGATTGAGCTGTGCTATAATCATGTCGTCTTTTATGCTCTTTCTCCTCCTGTTTCTCTCCTCAAGCCTCCACTTAGCCTTTTCTTTAAGGATTAAAGGCTCGTATGACGTATCTAACGAGACGCTCCATAAAGAAGGGCAAATGAAATACAAGTTTTTAGATAAATTTGGTATATTCAAGGGAGACTCTGTCAATCTGTACGGTAGCGTAAATATCACAGGTGATCTGCTATTCGCTTTCATAAAGAAAAAGGTATGGGATAAATTTCACCCCGGGTCCTCTTGTGATCAGTTGCAAACCCAGTCTTTGAGATATAATAATCGTTTTGTACAACCATTACCTCCCCCTAACCCGAGCTCTGACCTTACGCCTGTGTCTTCATCGTCCTCCCCTCTCTCACCCTCGGCCTCTCATTCTATCAGCATGAACACTGAAATGAACGAGAGCACCGATACTGAGTTTTGGTTTGCTGTTTTCATTTATTGCAGAGAAAGCAACAATGCCTGGATGATACCCAATGATTCTCTTAGCCTCTCGTATGAGATCTTCATTGTTAACGCTAATCATGATCACAATAACGACACTAGTCCATTTACTAGGCAGTTCCCTGGTAACGAGAAAGGATTCCTCTTCACGTACTTGCTGTTCAGCGTATTCTATGTCATTCTAATCCCAGTACACCTCCTCTCTCATCTCAAGTACACTATCAAATGTAGGACACCTCAAATTATTAATCTCTTTTCTCTCGCTCTCGTCTTTGAGGGGATCAACATTTTCTGTGGCCTGATACATTATGGGATCTACGCTCACAATGGATACGGGGCCCCGCCCCTTAATTACATGAAGACCTTCTTTAATTTGGTCGGGGATTGGTTTTTGATCATAGTCCTGGTTTTAATTGCAGGTGGGTGGATGGTAACACTGAGGACCGTTAAATGGAGACTGGCTTCTTTTATATTCATCTCTTTGTATATATTTGTCACAATCATTTATTACATCGCCACTGTGGTAAGAAAACAGAGAGAGAATGTATTTTTATTATATTATTTTTTATTTTATTTATTGATTCTTCATATTTTTATAGATATACATGAATGTTCAGCCATGGGATACGCTCCATCCATTACAGGAATGGCCTGGAGGGATCTACCTATTTGCCCGAAGCCTGCTACTCTTTTACGTTTGGTACCAAATATATCACATCCATCGTCAAGAAGAAACACTGCAGAAGCTCCGCCTCTATCGGGCATTATTTGGAATATTTACAGTCTGGTTCTGGTACCTGCCAATAACTGTTTTCATAGTGACGCTGATTAATCCTGTCGTGTCTTGGGTGGTGCTCATTAATATCATGAATTTTATGAATTTCATCGTCAATGTCGTCATGGTGGCTTTATTCTGTCCATTCTGGTCTCACGAGTATTTCCAGTTTCAGTTTAATGTAGAAACCTCCTCAATGACCTCTGCCCTCATGAACAGCTCCAGCTACACTAAGAAGTATCAAATGATGAGTGGCAATAGTTACGACAAGAGAGAAGATAAGGACCTGATCCTATGAAGAACTTAAGTGGAAGCTTAACATCAGGTGCTAAACTGGACAAGAAAAGTTTAATAATAGACTTGTTATCTATCTATCTATATTATTTGTATTTTTTTCTATTATAATGATTGTTAGATTTTGTGTGATAATTTTTTTTGTTAATGAAAAATAAATGAATAATAATAATAATGAATCAAACATGAAATCAAATATGAAAAAATGACTAAACCAAAATTAGCTTTGATTAACAAGAAGTTTTGATTGATGAGATATGATAACATAATGCAACGAAACAGTTATAGTACAAAAAATCCCTTCATGTAGGTGTGGCTCCTTCTTTAGCATCACTGATTTCCTTCTTTAATTCTTCCACTGCCATGTTGTGCTCTTTAGTATCAAAATGTCTGTGGAGTCCAGCAGTAGAGGAAGAGTTCAAATGACATAGCGGACATGTATAATAACCAGGAATATCAGATCTGACATAATAACAAACAACAGATACATCATTGATCCTTCTATTCCTCTTTCTCTCTTACCTGGTTAGTTTCGTTTTCATATCGCTAATCTCATTCAATGTGAGTATCATTTTAGTGATTTTGTGAGATGTAGCTCTCTCTCCACTTATCTTGACTCCGCTATGCAGCTGGTAGAGAGGAGGGAGGGGAGAGTCGTCCAATTCTCTGACTTTGATACGTGGCTTTAGTACATCCTCTGGACGAAGGAGATTCCAATTTGAAGAATAAGAAGTTAGGGGCTCTACACTTTCTCTTGATTTCATGACTAACCTGTGAATAGGAGAGAGAGAGAGGGAGAGAGAGAGGGAGGGAGGGAGTGATGGAATAGCTAGTAGGAATTATATTCATGTGTCTTACTCCATTACACTTTGTCTGGTCCTCTTTTGCATTCCCTTGATCAAATCGTGTGAATATTCTATTTTATTATCTTCACTTTTCAAACTGAAATTGATCTGTGACCTTAACATATTGATCTGGGGAAAGACAACAAATAAATAATAGTATCATTATTATTATTTTAATGATATTATTACAGCATCAATGTCCTCTTGAGTTATTAAGGTATCAAACACCAATTCCAAGTCATGTTCCGGATAGTGGCTCAGTCCAGTCTCAGTATTGTATCCTAATCCACACACAGCCCCTATATACTGGCGATTCAATGGGTCAACCCTAGAAACACATCAAAAATGAATATACTATGTCCTTCAAAGTTCAAACAATGTCACAACTGAACTGTCCTATAATGTAAACTGTGATTTTGATAAACCAACAATAATATGAAGTTAGTAATGTAGTTACACACTAAAAAAGTTCAGTAAAATTTAGTACAGCAGTCTTACACATCAAAAATATGTAACTGAAATCAGCTAAAACTTTCGACATAGCATAAGGACATCAATATGTATCACAAAATATAATAAAAATGGGGGGTGTTTTTAGAGCCATTTTTTTGGAAAAAAAAGATGGGCTACAGTACAAGGAAATTTCCAAAAATTGGCCCATTTCTTTAGATGGCCATAACTTGAACATTTTTTGAAAAAAGTAGTCCAAACTGAATCATTGTGTTATGAGAGTGACTGACCTAAGCTCCATATGAGGGCAGAACAGCATACAAAGGATATGAGAGAAGCCTGGTCTATTGGGCATTAGTGTTGTATTTCTGGTCAGGACTGAATTGCCAGCTGAATTTAAAGCAACGTGAGCAGCAGTCATCATCCTATGGTGCTTATCCTGAGGCTCTGGATTAAATACTATCGAATTAACAGAATCCTTCTCTATCTTTGTGGAATGGAGCCCCATCACGTTTGCCATGGAGTAAAAGGATACTTCGTACGGGTTGGAGGGACCCCTTAGTTTCAGGGTGGAGAGGCTTTCGCCACGATAGCGTCTTGAGGGCTGCTCTTTACGAGGTGGCCATGGAATGGATTTAGCATGCACGGATATGGAGGATGAAGGAGATAAGGTAAAGGGGTTGTTTAACTGTCTAGCAATACTGTCATGAGACAACTGGAGAGATAAGGATAGAGGGAGGGGGAGGGTATATTGATAACAATTATTATTAATACTGTTGTTATGAATTACTTTAGAGTCAATGGGCTCTTCATAGCGGCAGGCCCATCCCTCGGTAATCAAAAGGTTATTAAAATGAATTTCATTTGGTCCAGTAAGATCCCATAAATCAATTCTCAGTGTGCCGGAGACTTCCGAAAATATCTTAAATAAAAAAGTAGGAGACCAATAAAGTAATAATGTATCAAGAAAAGAAGACATACTTTCATAGTTAGTTCTTTTTCAGTAACTAATTCGTTAAATTTCTGAAGAGCATCTTGTCTCCATTTATCATACATTGGTTTGACTCCAACCAGCTGACACTCGAAAGCCTTTAAAAGATCACACCTACTTATAACCACACCCAAAAGGAATGCCCAGCACTTACCTGACGAGGCAATTGATAAAGTGAATCGGGGAGTTTAAGTACAAATCTGAGGGGGATCCTCTCTTCATTGCCATAATCAATGAACATAACCTAACGAAAGGACATTAACATGTTACTGTGTCCTAATAAAATCTGATAATGTCCCAACAAAAGGACAATCACCCACAATATCATGCTACTGTGGAGTGTGGACATGATAGAAGAAAGAAGTCAAGGAGCTATATAGTCCATCTAACCTGTACAAAATCCTGAGATAATACATTCATTACTAATCCTCTGTAATAAAGTCCATCGACTGAGTACAATGCCAAACAATAGTGACCAGCCATGTCTTTCACAGCCACCGAGTTACTCAGTGGGGGCGGTTTAGAAGGATGGATGATCTTCTTAATTGTGTCAAATAGTTCACGGAGTATGGAGTGAGTCTCGGAATTCAAATATTGAGCCCAAAAGTGTCCAGGAGTGAGAACCTGTATGTATAATGTGACATAGTCATGATGACATTGTCAATAACTATTAATAATTACGTCAGTTATCATGACCCGTTGGTATTCTTCTTTGAAATTTATGACTGCCTAAAGAATTAAGTTTATTTATTAACAATAATAATAATAATAATAATAATAATAAGCAACGTACAGGTGGAATATCATTCTTATCACATTGAACCGGTTGAGTGTAGAAGGAGGAAGGGGAGGCTGATTGGTTTAGCTCACTGGTTGGTACTGTTAGGCATAACTTCTCACGTCTATGTCTATGATAATAATAATAATAATAATAATAATAATAATAATAATAATAATAATGATGATGATGATAGTGATTACTTCATTTTTAGTGCTACATATACTGAAGGGAGGGCATTAATAGCATCACAGAAACTAACCACCTGCTGTGGCCTTCGAAACTCAACATACAACCTAGCAAATAATAATAAATAAACTCTCTCTCTCTCTCTAATGCTCTCTTACCTAGTTTGTTCAAAATGGAGTGCCTTCCCTTCACCAATGTTATTAAACAGCTCAGCAAATTCTTCATAGAATCTTTCGGCACCAGCAGGCAGACCAGACACCTAATAAAATAATTAATCAACAACAATGAATATTAATTAGTTCCATGTACCAGTACGGTAGTCTTTGGATCGTGTCCAGACATTTCTCTACGACTCAAGTCTTCGTCAATGTCCCCAAAATAAAAGTAATTGGGATAAAAAGCCCCTCCTATCACTATCTTGAGTAGTAAGACATCATCATCAGACATGGTCCTGTGTCTGTGTTGAGCAGTAAACAGGAAGATAGGAAAAAGGTGTGGTTGTACCTTGAAATGAGACTCTTTGTCATACGAATATTAAACTTGCTTAATCTTTCCTTTAGCTCATCAATAAGGCTACGTAGCTGTAGAAAAATATATATAAGAGTAGAATAAATTTTCTACAGGCGTTTACATCTTTCATTGCATTAAAATTGAGGAATCTTCTTTTACACCAATCCTTCTCCTAAAAGAATTAAAAACATCAAAGTGTAATTTTTACCCTTTTCCTTTACCTTTCTATCGTTGTGAGAGTGAAATGCCTTCTCATCTTTCATAGAGCACCAGGCTTTATAAGCATTCAATATAGCAATACAGTCACTGTAGGAGTTCTCGGCCCATTCAACTTTTGAACTAACAAGAGAGAGGGGGAGGGAGACATTTATAAATGCACATGTAGATAGACTACTATTAATTACCGATATGATGATAAAAAGTCATCATAATAAGGCTGTACAAAAATAGACTTTAAAGAAAGGGCAGCACCTGAAAAGAAATAGAGAGGATACATGTGTACAGTTGCATATATAGAGAGAGGATGGGAAAATTGTCTTACCAATGACTAGGCACTCCTCCAGTACACCAAATACATGTCCAAGTAGCAACAGTTTACCAATTTTAGGATCAACCGGTAGATCTGCCAGTATTTCCCCGAGGAAAGTCAAGTGGCCATCATAAGGATCAATCTTATTATTAATCATAAGAGTAAGCCCACCCACCTAATGACAAGAGAGTACATTGTGTACTAAGTGTGTAGTGCATTCTGCTGTACCTCCTTGAGTGTCAGAACAGCTTTTTCAATTCCCTTGAGGTTAGGAGGAGTAATGGCCCAACGTAGTACTGACTTAGGGTCACCAATATCCAACCTTTTACTGTATAACACCACTGACTCTAAAGGAGAACGCTAGGAGAGAGAGAGAGAGAAGGGGAGAGAGAGGGAGAGAGAGGGGGGGGCAGTGCATACATACATGTACAAATATAATCTGTGACTTACAGCCATTTCAGGTGTTGTATGTTCATCAATAAATTGAGTATAAAAGTTGGCAGGTATTAGCTTGTAACAGCGACCATTAGCGACCCTCCCTGCCCTTCCTTTCCTCTGGAGGAGTGAGGCTTTAGACGCCCACGTCAAATTAAGATACTGATAGTTGGTCTGTTGGTCAAACATTAGCTGCTTTGTGAGACAGAAATCAATAACTGGAGAAGAGAAAGTAATTTAAAATAATAATGCAAATTTATATGCCCACCATATCGAATATCTGGTACAGTAAGTGAACTCTCTGCAATGTTAGTAGCTAGAATGACCTAAAACAGAACACATGTAGAATAATGCATGAACACAATGTATCTATACGTGTACACTACCTTTCGTTGTTTCTTGTCTCCTAACTCTACAAAAACTCTCATTTGCTCCTCAGGTGAGACAGTCGAATGCAATGGCAGGTAAACCAAACTGGGATGAGGATTAATTAGAAAAGTGGTGCACTAATTTTTAAACTTACTTTAAATCTGAACACTCCATTGATAGTTTCATTTCCATTCTTTGGATCTCGGGCATGCCGGGCAAAAAAATTAAGACAGAACCACGAAGACTGTTGGGAAAAATTAATAAAAATTACTGTAATCTGTTTGGGGCAGAAATATTTTAGTAGTTTTGCAAAAAGGTAAAAAAAAAAAGCAAAATGAAGTGGTAACTCTTTCTCCTTACTCTTTATTCTTATCCAGTTTGTCAAAGTGTCTCAAAAGCCTACAGGCTATCAACATGGCATTATCAGTGATGGAAGGACTCTCTAGAGTAGGAGGATCACACTATAGTAATGAAAGGAGCTACAATTATGACCAAAGCCAACTCAAAACTCACCGTCCCAAATTCCTTTAACTCATCAAGAAAGAACTCATAGACAGGGAAAACTCTACCTTCGATTTTGAGAATAGGCGGGGTTATCGGCTTATCGCCACGAACTTCAAAATATTTAGCAAATTTGGAACTTTCTAATGTAGCTGACATCAAAATAACCTGATAAAAATATAAACATTAATTATTATTAATATTATTTACTTTAACATTTCTTGAATTAGTTCTCAATAATCTCAAAACGATTAGCAAACAGAAGTCAGTGTCTTTATCTCTCTCATGTACCTATCACAAGACCACACCCACTAATCACACTAGACCACACCCCTCACCTCATCAAGTATTACGTGTGTGTACTGGTTCATATTCTTCTCGTTGATTAGTTTCTGGATTAGAGTACCAGTTGTTACAAACGTCAGCCGAGTATCGTCAGACGTTTCCTTATCAGCAAACACCTGGTACCCGACCAGAGACCCCAGCCTCCAGTTGCGGCACTGTGACACGTATTTAGCAACACTCATGGCTGCTATTCGTCTGGGCTGAGTACAGATGATGTTGCAATGGTTACCACGTCGGGCATAAGACTCCAATACATATTGGGGAACCTAAAATTAAAAAATAATTATTCTTGTAATGGTCTTGAAATGAGAGGTGAATCTTCTTTTCTCTCTCAAATACTAAATTAGAATCATTTTATTTTATTTTACAATCTATGATATTTGCTCTGTTCAGACCCCAACCGTGAGGTCGGGGTCTACCTAATAAAGAAATAAATTTGTAATAACATAAATATACCTGTGTACTCTTTCCGCTACCAGTGGACCCCTCAATTATCGTGACCTGATTTGCTTCAATAGTTGATAATATGTTTTGTTTGTACACGTCTATCGGGAGTGAGGGCGTGGAATTAAAATTGAAATCATAGTGATCAAAGACGTCCGTCCTAGAGCACACAGGGGCAGGTTCGTAAGTGTAGGCAGCCTGAGAGGCAGAGGCAGGGTCGCCAGGAATAAAGAGACCCCCTAACTGAGGGTCAGTGTAATAAGGATCCAACACGGGGAGGGTAGGGGGAGGAGGAGGCCTACTGGCTGCCTCTTCAGCATCTCTGAGAGCTTTACGACCTGCTGAAGAGATTGGACGAGTAGGAGGAGTGTAGCCTTTGATTTTTGGCACTGGCTTAGAGAGATCAAAGAAATCCCTCACTATGTCTTCAGTGATTATGTGCTCAGAAGTTGACCACCACGGAGTGTCCATATTACTCATGGTTGATTGTTTTTACAATATCACAGGATAGAGAGATGCAGAGAAAATGGCACGTGATCATTGATGAACACGTGTGAGGTAACTTTTAATATGGCGGGAAGTATGAATGAGCATGCGTAGTAGGTTCTAGGAATAATAGAGGCTTCCTCATTATTAATAAATTATTATTAGCGTATACTTATTTTATCGATTTTCATGAAACTGACATTTAGCTGGTACTTAATTTAGCGTTTTTGATCATTTGGTATTAATAACTTCCGGGCTAGAAGAATTAATAGGACGAGCCTAAGCAAGCTATGGATTACGTGGTATGATCTACATGTATGAGCAAGCAAAGCAATTGCACAAGTCTAAATGCTCTAATACAGTAGATCTTGTTGCATTAATCTTGCTTAAATTGCTCCATCACTGACTCTGCAGCCACATGTAAAGTTATCTTGCTTACAGTTAAAAGCAGTCACTGAACGAAGAAGATTGTCATCTGCTTTGTTAACCTAGGCTAACTGCTAGCAGAGAAGTCTTTGGACAGCAGTTTAGTACTATCTTGCTGACTGTTTGCTGCAAGTAAGCTTAGACTTGCTGACGCCCGCCATTTTATACACTGTGACCACACCCACTTTCAATTAAGAAATTTAAATTAGCGCGGGTTTAAGTTAGCGATTTTTTATTGCTAAAATTCGCTAAATTAATGGAACAATGGGTGGGGTTGAGGTTAATGGTAATTGCAGAAGAAATTTTTTTCAAATTTTGGCTAGTAGATATGCACATATATAATGGGGGAAAATATTGAGAATTTCCAGAAAGAATAATGGGAAAATTTATGAGCATAATAGGCTCAGGCCTAATCACGTGGTATAAGGTGGTCATTGGTCAAGATGAAGGGAGTGTCTTTTAAACCTACATGTAAAATTAAAAATGCAAAATGGCCTCTTTTGTCAATCGTGAAAAGCAGGTGAAAAGCTAGATTAAAGAGAAAAAGAACCATCATGAGGATGCTAATGCTCACACTGGCCACTACAGTGGTCACAGCTGGTGTAATCATGAACGTGTATTCAAAGAAGAAGCAGTTCTATCCATCAGTCACTTACCTCTTCAAATCATCTCGCTGCATGAGTGTATGTATTTATAACTTAATCATACATTTTATTTGTCTCTTTCCTTTCTCAGGTTCTCTACATTCAGGCTTTTCTCATTGTGTGGCAGTTGGTCAAATTTTTTAAATTTCTGTTCTTTGGTACGTTAAGAGCCATAGAAGTTGAGGTGAGTCACCACACCCCCAAATGCATCTATTCATCTCCACCCAATTTAGCACCTCATCGAACGCTCCTGGTTTGCAGTTTTGGATACTTTTATACTACTAGCTGCGTTTCATGAAGAACTGAGTCCAACATTTGTTAGTTTGATAGTGCTGGTATTCATAATGAAGAGCTTCCATTGCCTTGCATCTGATCGTGTGGATCACGTGAGTCAGTCACATGACTCTCATGTGACGTGATTTGTTTATTTTTAGATGGAACAGAGTCCAATAATAACTTGGAAGTTTCATATAAGAATTGTTGGTATGCATGTACATGTACATGTACACAATATTATTATTATTATTATTAATTATTAATTATTCTTTCCTTCTCTCTCTCTCTCTCTCTCTCTCTCTCTAGTCCTATTATTATTATTAGGTATTATTGATGCACTATTCATTAAGGAGGCATGGCAAGTCGTCAAATTGAGAAAGCGATCGGTAGCTATTGTATTTGGATTAGAGGTATGGGATTGGGTGTGGCCTCATTTTGAAGCCCCACCTCTTTAGTATGCTATAATGCTTACGGAGGCAGTGAAGGTTTTCATGAAGTACGTGTTACACAGTATTGACTTGAGGAGTGAGAATCCATGGGAGAATAAACCAATTTATATAAGATACTTTGATATAGTGCTAGGTAAGAGAGAGAGAAAGTAACAAGTTTATATTCATAGGCGTATCTAGCCTTCTCCATCTACTAGGGCACTTAATTAATTATTCATATAATTAATTAATTATATCTAATTAATTAATCATACCTTTAACTATTGATTGGGGCAATTTGGGCAAAGGCATTTTAAATTTAAGACCTATAACTGCCCTGGTGCTTGAATAAACACTTGTAACATGTAGGTGTGTGCTAAATTATTGTGGTTAACAGTGGTAGCTATTGTGGTTAACAGTCCTACCACTGTTACAATACTGTGTATAATACAATAACTAATGAATATAATTATGGCTGCAAATTTCTACCTGGGCAAAGCCCGTGCTTGCCTGGGTCCAAATATGCCTGTGTTTATATTATCTCTTTCCTCTCTCCTTCCTCTTCCTTCAGGTGTTATTGAGTTACTATTGTATGCTGGTTATATGGTCTTTATGTTACTGTTACCATCCATTCCATTGCATATTGCCAGGAGGATATATAGAGCAGCTAGGTGCTTCTTCTATCAATAATGTATTCAGTATTTATGTATTTTTTTCCTCATGTAGAGATTTTCATAAAAACGTTTACGACGTCATTACATCTCATCAAGCTATTCGGAACCTCAACACGCTGTGAGCCATTTCCCCCTTCATCTCTTTGTCTCTTTGTTTATGTTGAGGTTGTGTTAACTCTAAACTATCATTCCATGTTTACTAATTCATACATGTACATTTATTAATGCTCAGAAGTCATGTACAAAAAAAAGTAGGAAGTTTTGATGATTGAATTAATCCTTTTAGGTATCCTGATGTACCACAGGATGAGTTGTTAGCTGCTAATAATGTCTGTATTATCTGTCGGGAAGAGATGACTCAGAGATGCAAGAGGTTGCCCTGTAATCATGTATTTCACACTAGTTGCCTTCGCTCGTGGTTTCAAGAGCAGCACACTTGCCCGACCTGTCGGCTTGATGTATTGCGCAATCCAAGGCCGGCACAGCAGCAGCAACAGCCACACCCACAGGCTCCACCTCTTAATAATAATCAACGCCCACCAGGTTAATTAATAGTGTCATTGGTGTTAATTTTATTATTATTATTATTGATAATTAGTATTTATTAGTATTTATTCCACCGATGTATGGCTGGCCCCCACCTCCTCAGCAGCCACGCCCACAAGACGCCCCTCCAGCTCAAAATATTCATCCGCCCCCTCAGGCTGTCCCCCCACAAGGCCCCCCTGGTGTAGCTCCTCCTACTGCTCCTCCCATTTTCCCTCCTAATGTCTTTAATCCCAATCCAATGTTTGGTGTTCCTCCTCCTCCCCACGGGTTTCCCCTCCCTCCCCCTGGAGTGTTCTTTCCTCCTCCACCTCCTCTCATTAATCCAGTTGATGGTATGATAATACAATTATTTCACATTGTATGATAAATTAATAATAAATAACTAAAGAAACAAAAATATGTTTATTATTTATTATCATTTATAACCAATCAAACAGTAGAAAACAAACAATTATGAATCTGAGATAGAAAATTATTTTACAAATTACTTTATTCTTAGATGATTTTCTCCAGTCGGTATTGAGGAGTTTAACCGATGAGCAGCTAAAGGAGTTGGAAGGAATGGAGAGATCCAATGTTGAGGCACGGATTGTATTACTAAGGAACATACAGCAGCTACTGGATGCAGCTGTACTCCAAATGAACACATACACTAACGTCATGACGTCATTAAAGTGAGTCTATTGTAATTGTAGCAGTGAATTAGGGAATTTTTTTTCTTAGTATCCCTCCAGGTCCAGGATATCCTCAGGATATTCCCGTGTCACCTCAGGATACTCAAAAGCCTCCCGTACCTGAAGGACGTCCTCTTGAGGAGACGTCTCCAGACGAAGGAAGAGGAGAAGAGAATAAAGAAGAAGGAGGAAAAGAAGAAGAGGAGGAGGAGGAAGAGAGAGGAGATGTTCTTGATTCAGAAATGCTTAGACAGAGAAGGCTACAGCGGTTCCATTCTCTTCCTGTTACTAGTTCAGAGAAGAGGAAGGAAGAGGAGGAAGCACCAGCTGAGGACAATTGAATTACAATGTACATGTATATCAGATAATAGCACACATTCTAATCAGGTGTTGATTATTAATAAATAATAACAATTTTTCAATAATGATTAATATTTCTTATGCTTAAGAAGCAATCTTAACTCCTAAGGATGATATAAGCAAGATTATGCACTCTTGTTTCAAGCTGACAAAAATAATCAATAACGTGGGTGTTTAAACATTAATTTAAAGGGAGTGGTTACTGGGCGTGGTTTTAAAAGAATCTTTTTCTTTAATTCTTTTTGTCTTTATTTTCTTTTGTTACATGGGTCAGCAGCAAGGTAAGGATCAGTTACCAGTTGATATAGGGGAAGAGATCAGTTCTCTCTCTAACAAGACAATATGGAACGTGCACTTTGGAAACAGAAAGGTTTGAAAAATAAAATAATTAATACTTTTTATGTAAACTTTCTTCTTGTTTCTGTACATTTAGCCTGCTAATGATCCCGTTTTAGTTTTTATATTTAATTTTGCTAATAAAAGCGATGATGAGGTACAGTCTAAAATTTATAAATAAAATTGAAATTATCTTTTCTAATTATTTTATTATTTAGATACGCCAGGCACGGTCCGCCCACTTACGGCTCAAAACATTGCGTCATCCAAACATTCTACGCTACATTGACGGAGTTGAGGTGAGACATTAATTAGAATTAGTGCGCCCATGTGATAATTGAATTTAATAGTTACTGGATAGCATTTATATGATGACCGAGGAAGCCACACCCCTTCAAGAAGTATTAGAATCTGCCACACCTCCTTCGGAACATTTAGTGTCATGGGGGATACATCAAATAATTGTAAGACTGAAAATTTATCATTCTACTGGTAATTTTTTGTTGACATGTCCTCCTGTGTCTCAATATTTTGAGCAAATGATTAAGTATGTGTACATGTATATGTATAATGGCATCTGGAGCAACTTTAGAAAAATCATTAAAAATCCAATTTTTATTAGAATTCATTCAAACTTTCTACACAACATAAGAACATGTGTATGTATCAGAAAAAATTATAAAAATGAAGAATTCTCTCCTAGTCATTTTTGGTGAAATTTGACCAAAGACCCTGTACTATAGTACAGGGACTTTCGCCCGATTTTGGAGCAACTTCAAAAATTCATAAAAAATTCAATTTTGATTGGAATTTGCTCAAACTTTCTACACAACATAAGAACATATATATGTATCAGAAAAAATTATAAAAAGTAAGAATTTTCTCCTAGTCATTTTTCGTAGAATTTGGCCTGATTTTGGAGTAACTTAAAACATTTCTAAAGCAATTAATTTTGAGCTCAAACTTTCTACATACTGACATCTGATTTATCATGTCTTTTTTCTCCCTCTCTTTCTTTTTCCCACTCAGAAATCAATAAGTTTTCTTTCTAATGACTGCAGTTTAATTCATAACAATGTTGCCATTCATTCAGTATTTGTGGATGCTGCAGGTTAGTGTGTCATGTGACTATCACATGACGTCCTTTTCTCTCCTCCCTCAGGTGAATGGAAGCTGTCAGGTGTTGAATGGATGTACTCATACAATGATACCAACATTCCATTGAAAACATTTCAAAGTCTTAATAAATATGATCCACCGGAAAACATGAAGCAGGCTAAAAGGAAGACGGAGAAATGGTAATTACAAATGATGCAATGTTAATTATATTATTATTATTATTGACACTTTGCCACTGGGACCTTCTTTTAATTAATTTATTTAGTTATTGTTATTATTATTATTATTATTATTGTTGTTATTATTTTATCATTATTATTGTTGTTGATTATTATTATTATTATTATTATTATTATTATTATTATTATTATTATTATTATTATTCCTAGGTCACGTGACATGTGGGGCTTGGGTTGTCTGCTGTGGGAAGTTTTTAATGGTCCGATACACCAGAGCTCTAATTTAAGGGATACTTCAAAAGTAATATTAAAATAGTTACATACGCAAATTTGTCTTGTCACTTTTTTTTCTTTTTTTTTCTCCGTACAGTTTCCAAAGAGCCTCTCCTCCCATTACTTACAGTGTGTTAATGCTAATCCAATGGCTAGACCCAATCCATCCGAACTATTGCAGTCTTTAAAGGAGAGAGGAGGCTACCTTAGCAATACCTTCATATCACTTAACCTGAAAATAGAAGAGCTTCAAGTAATTAATATTTTTAAAAATATTTGCTACTATTAATAATTCTTTTTTGTTTTCTCTCTCTCTCAGCTAATGGAGGCTGATAGGAAGAATCATTTCTTTGTTGAGTTGAACAAGTCGCTTGATCTCTTCCCTGACTCATTTGCTCATCATAAAGTCCTCCCTCATCTCCTCAATGTGTTTGAGTTTGGAGGAGCTGGTCCCACAGTCCTTGCTCCATTATTAAAAATTGGTAAACTGCTACCAGAGGACGAGTATCAGAGGAAGATAGTTCCTTGTATAGTAAGATCCTTTGGGTCTAATGACAGAGCAACCAGACTGAACCTGTTGCAACATGTAAGCACAAAGCAGCAGAATAATAAACATTGTACTATAAATTACATATACTCTCTCTTTATAGTTGGATCAGTTTATTGATCAGTTGCAGCCTAGTGTGTTAAATAATTCCTTGTTTGGTCAGATAGTGACTGGTTTCACTGACACTGTGCCAACAATCAGAGAACACACCATTAAAGTCTGTTTATTGTTAACAATAATCACATACAAATATCATCACTCCCTCTCTCTCTCTCTCTCCCGTCCAGGCCTCTCTATTATTAGCTCCCAAGTTGAATGATTCTAATCTAAGTCAATTATTGAAATTTTTTGCTAAATGCCAACTAGATGAACAGGTACAGTATATTATTAATTACTTATAGACTAAATTAATCATACATTTACATGTACATGTCTATACAATGTAGGCTGGTATTCGTACCAACACCACTATATGCCTTGGAAAGATTGCACCTCACCTGAACAGCAAGGTACTTGTTCCAATTAATGCACAGACTAATGACTATGATATACTTTAGACTAGAGACAGGGTCCTTGTCTCAGCATTCACTCGTTCCCTTAAGGACCCGTTCCCTCCTGCTCGCTCAGCTGGTATAGGAGCACTGGGCTCCACCCTCTCTTACTACACACCCATTGACATGGCAACCAGGATCATCCCCTCACTGAGTCACATGACTGTAGACAAGGACCAGTCCGTCCGAGAGCAGGTGGGTGGAGCTTGAGAAACAATGTACATGTAATAAATGTTACGTATTATGCAAAATGACACTGCGATGATTGGTTTTTAGACATTTAAAGTTTTGAGGCTGTATGTCGATAAATTGGAGGAACACTCAAAAAAGATGGAGCCGTCGTCTGACGGAGAAGGAATTGAACAAACTGAAGGTATTATTAACAAGCTGTCATAGCATAAATCTAAAATGTGTTTGCTCAATACATGTACTGTAGATATAGTAATACTAGTGAATATCAAGTTGTCAAATTGTGTTTGCTCACAAATGACACTTAGTGTTTTCTGTGTCTTTTACAATACTTGTACTGTAGATAGTAATAATAATCATCATCACGATAATGATTATGATAATTACAGGGGCGTCCTCATCAGTGGCTAGTTGGACTGCTGGTTGGGTCAGCTCAATCAGTAAATATGTCTCCACCTCATCATCTGCAAAACCTGAAACCACACCCACTGCCCCACCCACATCATCTTACCAACCTAGTAGTTAGACGCATTCCCATTAATTTATTAATTACATGTATGTACATGTACAGGCCAGCGACAGACACAAGAAGTCAAGGCTACCATACCTACTACCTCTGAAGAAAGGAGAGATGATAAATGGGATGAAGACCAATGGGAGGTTTGGTTAACTACGCCTCTATTAATCTTATTATTTATTTTAGGATTTTGGTAATGAGGACACTAAGAAAGGAACCACTCATTCATCATCAGGCTGGGACGATGAAATGTGGGAGAGTTTTGAGCCAACGCCTAAAAAGACCACACCCACTGGCCGGGCACCAGCTTCATCCTCAATGAAGCTCTCAAAGAACAAGTTGCTGTCTCCTCCCCCTGACACACCCCCTGATGATGACTTTTGGTCTCGTTTAGAAACATCAAAACCATCAACAAGAGGTAGGGATAAAACCACACCTCCTCCGGTACCATCTAGCATGTTTGACATTAAAGACACCAATAAAACAGGAAAAATGGGAGGAGCTAAGATTTCAGGGGGCGGAGCTAGTGGTGATGGATGGGGGGACTGGGACGATTCTGAATTTGAACCAGTGCAGGACCCGGTGAGGGGGGTCAGTGAAAGTGAGGAAACTGGATCAAATGTTATGACAAACGAGGGCTGGGAGTTTGAAGGTGGTGGGTGGGAAGATGCCACGCCCATGAGTAAACCTGTCGCAAAGCAAGAGCAAGAATTGGAGAGACAGAGAGAGCTAGAGAGGAGGAGAGAGGAGAGAAGAGCAAGACAGGAGGCAGCAAGGAAGAAAAGATCAGCTGGTATGTCACTGAAACCAACCGGACTGGGGGCAGTCAAAAAAGACTGAGGGATGAGTAATGAATATTTTTCATTATTAATTATTTTGTTTTATGATTATTATTATTTCAATGGCGTATGGTACGTAATACGTAGATATGATCACGTTCACAAGTAAATTTAGTGAAGTGCTGACTCATTATGCCTTTGATTGCCTGAGAAAAATCAGTAAGGAGGATTGAGATCCAGTTTTGTCGGGAAGGAATAATTACACCTGAGAAAGAAACGGTTCGATCTGCTGAAGAAAATAATAGTATAAAAATGGTTGATCGAGCTTCTAACCAGGATGACGAATTCTATAGAAATCTATCTCGTAGGTGTTCCGGATTGAAAGACGTCCCTATTGTTTCTTTACGACTGGAGCTTTTAATTAATGAAATTAATCCGATGGTGATACCTGAAAGTGACACCATGGCTGATGGAAGTGGATTATCAAATGCGAGATCAAATGAAACAAAACCAGAAATGCTACCAGCTCACGCAAAAACTTCACATCAGGATACTAGTACTGTTGGGGCTAATAATCGGTGGGTCCTTGACATCATTCAAAATTTGAAGCCCACTATATTAGAGCAGTCTTATCTAGAACGAAGTCTGCTTACAAGTGATGAACCTAGCCTACCACATACAAAGCAGGCTCGACAGCAGACTACATATGCACCAGAATTATCCACTCCAGAGCCATCTATTGTTTCACCGAACAATTTAGATCAGGATGATTGCAACTCATCTAGTGATGAAGAGGTAATAAAACTGATAACTATGCCCTCCTGTTTCCAAAATGTATTTGCTGTTGCTACTGAAGTAAACTAGTTTTAATTTTTATTGTTGCATGACAAACATTAACAGTGACTATAATTTGTATTTGTATTTATAGGATCTAATGTCCTTTGAATCAGGTAGTGATAGAACCGAAACCAATTTGGTACAGATAATTAAGAAACCAAGTTTAACTGATAGAGCACATGTGAATGAAATGAGGGATTTATTTGTTGAATATTTGCAAATACAAGCATCAATAGCAGCACCTACGCCGAGACCTGACACAGGAATGCCTCTAAATTTGGTAATCCCCACAGTTTCGGAGGAATTTTTAGCAACTGATGAAGAAAGGATACTTTCTAAAATTGCATCTCCGGAAAAATCAACAGAAGCTGACAAAGTCGCCACTCTCATTCAAGATGAAGCTGATCTGGCAGTTGTAACTTTTAAGTCTTTCCTTCACTCAATCCAAGAGCAAAACGATGCTATGTATTATGAAGAAATGCAGTTAATGCTGAAAAAGCACAGGCATTTAGCTAAAACATGCTATGATTCTGCTGTTGCCTTATTTGGAGAAGGCCTTGCAAGCTTCGTGCTGAAAGAATATGAAGAATCGTTTGAGAAGTTTAGAGAAGCAGAATTAATCCTTCAAGATTGTGTTTGTTTTGATAAGTCTATTTCTAATGATTTGTCATTGTGCCTCATGTACATGGGAGATGTAGAGATCAGTCAAGGTCACTATAAATCAGCTCTAGAATATTATGAGAGAGCCATTGCTTCCCATCTGCACCATAGTCCACCATCACAATTGGAAGAAATTTTTAAATTGGAAAGGACAACCCTTTCTGCTATGTTATCAAAGCATGCTCTATCTCTTTGTAACAATGATTGTGTTGTTGATTCTGAGGAAAGATATAAACAAGCCGTGTCCTATCCTGACACCACTCCTTCAGATATCATAATGGCTCATACTGGTTTAGGTAATCTCTTACACAGTCTTGGTAGTAATGAAAAGGCTGCCCCAGAGTATCTTGCTGCTATAGACATTGCTGAAAAGGAAAAGGATTACCTGTCACTTGCTTGGGCCCATGGTAACCTTGGCAACACGTACCTGAGCTTAGGAAAGAGGGAAAAAGGTCTTAGCCACCTCCAGACCTCTCTTGATCTCACCCTTGAGCATGATTTTGATCCTTCCTCTATTAGTCGTGCTCTCAATAACCTTGGTACTGCCTATCAGTCTTTGAATGAGCTGGACAAAACTGAGATATATTTTGATCAAGCTCTCTCTCAAGCTATTTATGCTAATGATGTGGTTGCCCAAGCCAGAGCTTATGGCAACATTGGTAATGTGTACATGTTGCTCAAGGATTTCTTGAAGGCTATTCCACACTACACTGAAGTCCTGAGGCTTAGCAGGGACAGGTCTACTGTATATGTTGCTTATCATAATCGTGGTTGTGCTCTGTTTGAGTTAGCTGAGAAGAAGAAAGGTGAGCAATACCAATTCACTAAAAGAGGTGAGTTCCAGTTTATTGCTATTGGGCCTGATACAGGAGATATGGATTACAAGCACCAGCCTGATGAAGAGTTGGATGGTCATACTACTGAGTTATACCAGCAGGCACTCAAAGATCTCAGAAAAGTCATCAAAAATGTTGAATCAACTCTTTCTCATTCAAGTTCCAGCACTATTGGTTTGGATCTTTATCTCTCTTTGTTTCACATCAACGCCAAGACCTTCCAAAGAGCCCAAGACTGTGCCTTTAACCTCAGAGACCATTACCTCTCACTTACTATTGCCGAGCAAGTCAGAGCTCGTACACTTGGTGAGCTACTCCTCAAGCGCAAATCACACCAACTGCCTACCACATTCAGCACTCCTCTTAATATTGATGCAATTAAACTTGCAGTTGAATTACTACCTGACCCTTATACCCCTGTGGTTGTACTCTCTTACACTGGTACTAGACTACTGGTATGGGTACTAGTATTTGATGGTAAGACAGTGTCAGTTAATTCCTTTGAGCAGGAACCAGATGAGGAGCTATTTGGGAAGCAACTTGATATGTATCTTCGATATGAGCTAGCTGATGACCTCACTGGTAATATTGACCTTTATGGAGAGGAGGAAGAAAGTGGAGAAAAAACAAAAAAACTAGTGAAAAAAGAAAAAGGGGCCAAAAGGAGCGGTCCTGCTAGAAAGAGAAAAATCCTATCTGATCTTTACAAGATGATAGCTAAGCCATTGGAAGCTATACTCAAAGCAGTTATACCAGAGCCTATTCTTCACTCAAGGGGTCCTCACAAGCTGATCTTAATCCCTGATAATAGCACCAAAATGATTCGATTCAATGCTCTACTAAACGAAGAAGGAGGAGTTTATTTTGGCGATAAACATACGCTACAGTTTTTTCCTTCTCTCCTTTGTCTGAGTGTAATGTCACAAGCTCCTCCTACAGTGATTCGCATCAATGGAAACACTACTGGTGGTGTCCTCATTGTTGGTGATCCATCTATACCAGCTTTCAAGTTTGAAGGAGAAGATTGGACTCCCGGACCTCTACCTCATGCCAAGAAGGAGGCACAATGCGTCGGGCATCATATGAGAACACCACCATTGCTTGGGGGAGAGCCAACAAAGGTGTTATCAAAACTGAGCCAAGCAAAGTTGATTTATTTAGCTACACATGGCTCAGCTACTTATGGGTTTGTTCTATTAACTGGTCATTGTTATGATAGACAAACAACATTCACATCATCTCTTCGCTATCATGAAGATGAAAAAAAGCTGTTGCTTTATGCAAGTGAAATTGAGTCTCTTCGTTTACAGTCTTGCCTTGTAATACTCAGCTCGTGTGATTCTGGCCGGGGGAAGTTTAAGGGAGATGAAATACAAGGAATGTCCTGCTCTTTTCTATTAGCAGGAGCAGCTGCTGTGATGACATCATTATGGAAGGTCCCCGATCAATCTGCATCCTATTTCATGCAGTATTTCTATTGTTATCTTCATGATGGTCACACCAGTAGTGGTGATGTCCTCATTATTGGTGATCCATCTACACCAGCTTTCAAGTTTGAAGGAGAGGACTGGACTCCTGGGCCTCTACCTCATGCCAAAGCATTCATATCACTTAATCTGAAAATAGAAGAGCTTCAAGTAATTAATATTTAAAAAACATTTCATACCATTCTTTATGTCTTTGTTTTCTCTCTCTGTCTCTCTGTCTCTGTCTCTGTCTCCCTCTCCCCCTCTGTCTCCCTCTCCTCCTCTGTCTCCCTCTCCCCCTCTGTCTCCCTCTCCCACTTC